CCCCAAAACCCCAAAACCCCAAAACCCCAAAACCCCAAAAGCAGAATTATAATTGACTATACAAATTATTATTAAAGAAATCAAATGGGCTCTTGTTGTGCTTGAATCAAGCCGGAACATCAAGATTCACCTTTTAAAAGTAAAGAATCCTTGTTTTCATTTCTGAATATTACTTTGAAATTTCTCACTATATATCTTTATCAATGGATCGATATATTTATAACTAAGCTTGAGATCTACTCCTAAATGAAAATTTCAGAAAAATTCCCACATCATTTGTTATTCAGCTTCTATTTTCTCAAAAGTGTTCATCCCAATTTCATGGTTGTTTATACACAAACTTGTAAATCTCAATCTCTTCGATACCACAGCTATAACTTAATTAGAAGAGATTAGTCCAGCCATGAACAGATCTCTGGTTGCAGGAAAGGAACCTCAGATCACTAAAGATTATGACTTCCTCAAAGTCATTGGAACTGGAAGCTTTGGCAAGGTCTATCTAGCCAAGCTTAAAGATGAGGGAGCCAGTAATAACAGTGACAATCTGTACGCAATAAAAGTTCTTAATAAAGCTCATATTGTTGATAAATAAGCAGAAAGATCACGTTACTACTGAGAGAAACGTAATGAGTAAAATTGATCACCCATTTATCGTCAAAATGCACAGAGCATTCCAAAGTGATACCAAGCTGTACTTCGTGCTAGACTTTCTTAATGGAGGGGAACTTCATTTCCATATGAAGAAAGAAGGCAGATTTACAGAGAATAAAGCCAGGTTCTATGCATCAGAAGTTGTCTTGGCGCTGGAACATCTTCATAAATAAAGGGATTATTTATAGAGACCTAAAGCCTGAAAATATACTAGTAAATCAAGATGGACATATAAAATTAACTGATTTTGGCTTATCTAAAACAGGAATAGTAGGAACCAACCAAGCTTTCACTTTCTGAGGCACTCCTGAATACCTCGCTCCTGAAGTAGTTAATGGTAAAGGCCACAGCAAAAGTGTGGACTGGTGGTGTCTCGGATTGTTACTTTACGAAATGCTCTCAGGGTCTCATCCTTTCAAATCGAAGAGAAAATAATAGAAAAGAGATATTTAGTCAAATCACTGAAACCCCAGTTGAGATGCTTCCTGGGTTCTCTAAAGAGGCATCTGATCTGATATCTGGACTTCTTAAGATTGACCCTGATGAACGTCTTGGAAGTTCTACAACTGGAGCTGAGGAAATTAAGACCCATAAATTTTTCCAAAAAGTTGATTGGACAAAGGTGTATAAAAGACAGATTTCCCCTCCGTATCAACCTTGACTCGCAGGGTCTGATGATTTAAGGAATATTGACTCTACATTTACAAGAATGAGCGCCAATGATAATGAAGGCGAAAGGTTTGACCATAAAAGTGCTGACTTTAAGGGATTCTCTTTCAAAGATAGTGACTTGCCTAGCCAAACAAGTAAAACTTCAGATTTTCAAGAATAATCATTTTTAAAACAATCTTTTAATACACAGAAGAGTCAATTCAATTTTGAAATTTGCATCTGGGGTTTTGGGGTTTTGGGGTTTTGGGGTTTTGGGG